GGCTGTGCCAGGCCGCACCCCTGTCTCCGCGGGATGCGCCCGGAAGGCCCCTCCCTGACCACCCCCATCGATCCCCCCTCCTGGGTCCCAGTGGGCTGCTCTCCAGGCGGCGGAGGACCCCTCTTACATTTCATCCTCGCCTTCCCCATCCCACCCCCGACGGCCACCCTGAGCAGAGGACCCTGGGTCTCCATTTCCTTTCACCCGGGCTGCCCCTTTCCCATCTCGAGCCTGGCCTAGAAAGAAAAAGCGACTGGGGAAGCCTGCACTCTGAGTCCTAGGCATCACTGGACACCTGCAGGGTCCTGTGACCTTGAGCCAGGCCTTCTTCCCCCGTGCCTCAGTTTCCCCATCTGTCCAGTCCACGAAGGGGTAATTGGCCCCTAGTACTGGAAGACAGAGCTGAAATATGTGGTCTCAGGACTTGGAGGCAGCATACTGTCCTCCTGCCAAACCCCTACCTTTTCTCCCTGCACCAAACCCGCAGCCTGCGGTTAGCCTTGGCCTGAGGAAGTCTCATCCCAGCCTCCTTTTCAGCCTCCTTCCCCCCCCAGCTGAGATCCAAGCTTTGGGGTTCCACCACCACTAGTGCTCAAAGACCACTGAGACTCCCCAGCCCAAGGCAGGCCCTGAGGTCTGCATCCCTGGGGTTCCTCCAGTAGCCGCTGGACCAGCTGACCTTTTGCCAAGGCAGCTTCTGACCTCACATAACCTTTCAACTCGGGCCTCCCACTCCAACAGTCCCCCCAGGCTGCTTGGGACAAATGCCCACCTCCCTACCTCTGCTCTTTTATCCCCCCCCCTTGGGGGTCAGCACAGGCTTTCTCCTGGAGCCTGGCAGTGTGACCAGACAAGCCTTGCCCCTCTCTGGAGTTCAGTCTCCTCATTTGGGTGTGGCGGTGGGGCTGGCATGGGGGTCTTGTGAGGCCCTTCCAGTCCAGGTACCAGACCCCAGGGATGACTAAGCATGCCTCATGGCTGATTTGAGGAACTGCCAAGCCACCTGGAACAGGTCTGAAAGTGTCGAGCTCGCCAGCCCCAGCCCCTCACCAGAGCAGTGCATGGCCGCATCTGAGCTGAGGCCTGTCCCTCTGTGCTTGCTGTCCTTCCTCTCCTCTAGGCCACCACCCAGGATGTCCCACCTCAGCACTGTCCACGTCCTGCCCTTGAGGGTCTTGTTAGCCCCTCTTCTTGGGCAGGCAGGGCCCAGAGAGGAAGAAAGCCCTGAGTGGCAGAGTGGTGGACATATGATCCTCTGCTCAGATACAAATAAGGAAACTGAGGCCCAGAGATGCTTGACAGCAGCCATTGTCTCAGCCAAGCTCAGACCAGTCCTCTGCAGGCACTCCTGCCCATGAGGTCACAGGGGCGGCTGCATCTGCACCCCCTCCTAAGAATGCTCCCCAACTCCCTTCTCACCCCTGCAGGAAGCGAGCTGCCCGTGTGTGCGAGCTGCGGCCAGAGGATCTACGACGGCCAGTACCTCCAGGCCCTGAGTGCTGACTGGCATGCGGACTGCTTCAGGTAGGACAGGGCAGGCTGGTGGCAGCGGAGAGCGGCCAGAGAGCAGAGGCCAGGCAGCTGGGCAGGGCAGCTGAGTGTCCTCTGTGGGGCAGTATCTCACTGTGATTTCAGCAGGTCCCCCTCTCTGACCTCAGGTTCCCCATCTGAAAAAGGCAGATTTTGACAAGATGCCTAAAGTCCCGTCTATTTTGTCATTCTAGACCTCTGTGGAGAGGAGAAACCCCATTTCAGCTGGTGACACCCATGTTTGGTGGTCCTGGCTAGGGGTAGGGAAAAGAGAAAGTGAGGGTCTTGCTTTTCAGGTACCCATGCCCCCCAGTGGGAGACCAGCCATTCTTCTTGGGGAGTCCTAGGCGGTCATGAAGGTGCACACCAGCAGGACAAGACCCCTCCCTTCAGATAGGCTCCCAAGTGCACACGGGTGTGTTGGCATGGTGGCCGAGGACACAGGAACCCAGAGGTGAAGATACACAGTCCTGAGAAACTGGGTGCAGAGGTCTCAAAACATGCAAATCTCTGGGTGGAGACAGTTCCAGGTAGAGGGTCTGGGGGTGCAAAGTATGGAACTGTATGACCAGCCAGTCAGATGGAGAAGTGCCGTGACGGGGACATGAAGCTGTAAGTCCAGCCCGGACGGGGCACTGGCCACCCGCTGGAGGAGTTCAGGCTTGAAGCAGTGGGAGGTTGTGCTTTGTCTTTTATTGAACAATAATATCTAACTTTTTTACATTTAGCAAGGGCCACGTTCTGTCCCATTCACCATGCCGAGTTAAATATTGTTTCCATTTTACCCAAGCAAAGTGAGACTCTGAGAGATTAATTCAGACAGAGACACAATCTGGGAGGAAGGTGAACACTCAGAGCTCACACCGGCTCACGAGATCAGAGAAGGGGAAGGCGCTCGCCCTGAGGTTCCAGATCAGATGCCCAGGCAGGGGGCATCAGGGAGGACCGGGGCCCTGGCAGGCAGCGAAGACCCTGTATGCAAAGGCATGAGGCAGGGGGGGACCAGCGTGCAGGTGGAGCAAACAGGACCAGCCCTTCGGGTTGGAACAGACGGGGGGATGGAGGAAGTGATGAGGAGGCAAACTTGGGATCCGTTTCTGCAGATCTGGGTGCCAAGGCCTTCTGGGATCTCCCCTGAAAGCAGCAAGGCCCTGGGGAGGATTTCTGCGAGTGGAGGAGGGTCGTGGGTGGATGTGCTCATTGGAGAGGGAAGTTCAGCGTCTAAGCCTGTAAGTTCTGAGCCAGGAGAGAGACTGAAGGTGGAGGATTTCAGTTACAGACCGCATGATATTTGGCAGGTCTTGGTCGCACCAGGCATCATACATTGAACACTCACTGAAGTTACAGCAGGAAGCCTTTGCCAAGACTGAGTGGGGAGCTTGGGTAGCCTGGCGGGTAAGGCGTTGTGCTGCCAACCCAAAGGCCTTCCGTTTGAATCCTTGAAGCTTCCAGCTGCTTTGAGGGAGTATGATGGGCGGTCACCTCCTGTGTGATCTGCAGCCTCCGAAAGCCTGCTGCAGATGAGCCGTGAGGCAGTTCCCACAAGACAGCAGTGAGTGAGTGAGTGGAGACTGTATGGACGGAACCTTGGCTGTGCAGTGGGCTAAGAGAGGACCGCTACATAAAGGTGGTTGGTTCAAACCCGCCAGCTCCACGGGAGAAAAATAAAGCAATCTGTTCTTAAAAGTCACAGCCTTGGAAACCCAGTGGGACAGGTCTAGTTTGGCTGTTCTGTGGGGTCTCTGTGTCAGAATCAACTCGACTGCAGTGAGTTTGGTGATAAAGAGATGTTGGGGTGCTCATTGTCATCAGCTAGACCCCCAGTCGGAGGGATCTTGTGCGTTAACGGAAGGAAGTGCTGGCCGGTCCTGCGCCGTCCTCACGATGGTGGGTGAAACTTGAATTTGAGTTGTCAGGGCTGTTGTGCTGGCCCATCTCACAGAGGGTTTTCATCACTTTACCTATATGACGCCCTTTACTGTCAGGCCATGGGGGATGCCATGATTGGTCCAATCTTACCATCAGAAACAGCGGCTCAAGGAACTCAAGTAACTTGCTGAAAGCTGCACAGCCAAGAGTCACAATGCAAACCTAGGTCTGTCTGAGACCTAGTATGGTAGATTGAGGGGGGAAGTGGGGACTGTAGGGAGGCATAGGGGCCTGGAGGCACCTGCCCGGTGTCACCAGGAGAGGACAAGGCTCCAGGTGGGGACAGTAGGGAGGAGGCATGTTGGGGGACTGTCCTCTGTGTGGCAGGGACAGTGGGGAGACTCCCACATGAGGGTGGACCCCCACGTCTTGGCAGTGAGAACTATTGTTTCTCTTCCGTGGCACCATGAGTCTTCCTCCTTCCCATACCCACCTGGAGGGGGCCTGCTGGCCTGCTCCATGTCTAAAAGGCATCTAAAGACTGAAGTCTCTGGCCCGCCAGCCTGCTCTTGGCAAAGGCTCAGCTTGGTCCCCTTCTAGAAGCTTCTCAGCGCTGAGACATTTGGCCTCACTTGAGTGACACCAAGACCTAGTCTCTCCCAGGTACTTTGGGAGGAGGGATGTGCCCTGAGGGGCTGCACCCCCCTGAGTGGGGGAAGGGGAGACACTGCACCCACTTCTGGGTTCTGCCTCCGGCTCTTCCTGAATCAGGAACCTCCTCGGGGCCCCTGAATTAAAACACTCTCCCAACAACCCAGTGAGGGATTACTATAAAGAAACTGAAGCTCAGGTTTTAATAACTTGTCCAGAGTCTCAAGGTGAGGGGCAGAGTCAGCCCATACCTACAGACTGGCTTCAGAGCATGGCGCCAGCCCAGTCCCTCCCAGGTTACCTGGGACCCTGGCCTGCAGGGGAGGAAGCACCCCTTCTTGATGGAGGGAAGACATTGAAGGAATAAATACCCCATCAGATTCTAGGATTCATTAGCACTCTGAGCCATGACTTTCAAGCAGGGAGTTGAATGAAGGCAGGGAGCATCCCTAAGCGTGAGAGTGAAGAGCATTTGAGACTGGGAACTGCATGTGCAAAGGCCCTGAGGTAGGAGTGTGCTTGGTGTCTTAGAGGAGTAGCCTGAAGGCCAGTGGGGCTGGGCTCAGCTCATAGGTGCGTGAGTACTCAGGGCAATGGTCCCAGGCAGTGGTGGCCTACACTATACTTATTGTCTAGCTCTATACCCAGAGTACCTGTCTGCCTCTGGGGCCCTGTCCTTGCTGTGTCAGGCATGTCAGCAGAGACAGACCCATGGGGACAGGTGACTCCAAAAGGCCATAGGCTGGTCTGGGCTGGAGCCAAAATGTGTGGAAGCCCCCAACTGTCTCACTGGTCACCCCAGGGCTCACTCTCCCTTTCTCTGTCCGGATGACCCCACCTCCTGTGGGTCCCACATCCCTGAAGTTCCAGCCAGGTCCAGCTGCCTCTTCTGGGAGGCCTCTTTCCAGAAGCCTCTTGTGCATGTGCCTTTAGGCAGTTGTCGCTGCAGTAACATCTCCCTGGAGGTGGAGTGGCCCGCCCAGGGCGTGGAGGGCTTGCCTTGCACCAGGCAGGCACAGCTCTGGTCCAGCCTCCTCTCTGTGGGGGCCCTTTCAGGACAGGAAGATATACTACTGTCCTTGGCAGGCCACTTCTGTTCCCTTGGGGGCAGCACCGGAAGAAGAAGCTGCTTTCAGGCTTGTCCCTGTCCCCAGAGAGGCCCTCTGGTTGGTGCCTTTGTAGAGGGGAGCCTCTAGGGCGTGCAGCCTGCGTGCTGGCCACAGCCTCAGCCTGGGGACAGAACCTAGATCCCTCCCCTACACACGCAGCTCAGCTCAAGGCCCTACAACTCCTTCCTGTTTCAGGCTCAGTCCAAATCTCTGTGCCCCCACGTTGCTGGTTGCTGCGTCTCCCTGGCCAGCCAGCCCCACCCTCAGTGGCCTCCAATCCTCAGGGCCCAGAGTGGGTTGGGTAAGCTGGTCAGGCCCACCCCTGCCTTCCCTTGAAGCTGCCAGAGGCCCCTGCCGGCTGCAAAGGATGCTAGCCTCGATCCTTAGTAGGCGCCACTTCCTCAGAGGGGCCAAGTAAGTGGCAAACCCTCCTCCCTACCTGTCCTGGGCCCCAGACCAGGCCCTTGGGGTGAGGGTGGGGAGCATTAATGGGTCGTACCCACCTGGGTCCTGCCAGGGAGGCAGGAGAAATGAAACTACTCGGTCACTGTGGCCTGGTTTTGGGGGGTGGGGGTGTCGTGAGGTGCCGTAGAAGTTTCTGACCTTTCGAGAACAGGTTCCTTGGGATATAAGGCTGGACACTACTGTCTTCCCTCTGGTATTGGGGGATCGATAGATGGAGCCCACACTTGTCCACTGAGGGTGCTGCTGGCCTTTGCCTGGACTCCTGTCTGGCTCAGAGACGATACCTAACGACCAGAGGGACTGGACCCCCAAACTCTCAATACCTAGCACTTCTTTCTTGGTAGCCTCTGTGGGAGCAAGTGTCAGACGCCCGGACAGGTCAAGGGCTTCCAGCAGCAAAGGTCCACTGAGGCCGGCAGGGGTCAGCCACTAAGCTGCCTGGGTGCCCTGGCCAAACGGGAGTCCAGGAAGGGGCCTTGGGGCAGTTCTGAGGATGCTGGGAGGACAAGGCGGAGTGCAGGCAGGAGCTGGCCACGGTGGGACAGCTAAGTGTCCTCTTTGCCATGATGAGAAGACCTCAAGGCCAGTGTCAGTGGGACCAGCGGGACGACTAAGGCTGATGGTGGAGCAGGGGGGCCAGAGGGAGAGGAACTCTCGCGACACGAGGTGACTCATTGCTGGGTCTTCCATAGCTGAGCGGCCCACAGAGGCAACAGCGATGAAGGCTGAGTGAGCAGAGGGTGGGCGTTTCCAGGCAGGAGGAGAGCATTCACCGCCGGGCAGACTGGAGGCAGAGGGCCTGCTTCCGGCAGGGTCGGGGTGACACCACTGCGAGTGTGTGTTGGGTGTCGTGTCTGGTTGTGTCTGGGTGGTGGGAGGCGAATGAATCACCGCGGGTGTAATCTGCTTGGGGGTGCGAGGTCACGAACGCGCCACCCTTCTGTGGAGAACAGCATCCCCCGCCGTGGGCCAAGCGCACCCCACTTGCAGAGGAGGAGCTTCTGGGGGTCCCACTTCCCTGCCCTCCTGCCTGGGCTCTGGGGTTCAAGTTGGAGCTGCAGGGCAGTGACGTCATGGCTCCAGCAAGCTATCTTGAGCATCCCAGGGGTGTCCTGGCTTGGGGGCCCCTCGCTCTCTGCTCCCACCTGGGGTAGGGGGCATGCGGAGAGTGCGCTCACGCCCCCTCCCTTTGTGGTTGCTCCATCACCACATACCTCTGAACCCCAGCATTCTGTGCGCCCCCAGCTCCTCGCAGCGGCTCCCCTCCCCCTGCAAGATTCTAAACAATAGGGAACTGACTGGATCCTCTTAAAGGAACAGTGTCCCACTGCCGTCTGCCTGCTGTCCTGCCTGTCATCACCAGCCTGTCCCCTTCCGGGTCTCCTCCACCCACCACATTAACCCGCAGCTCTGGTAGCCAGCCCAGTGGTAGCTGCCCTGGCCTTGCAGGGTCCAGGCTCTCCTGCCTGGCTCCATCCAGGATGCTGCTCTGCATAGATGGAACCAGGGCCCTCCTGCCCCTGTGTGAGCCTAGAGCATCGCCCACATGCTGTGTCCTGAATACACAGCAGGACCCTGGGCTTGGTAGAACCCTTGGTGGACCCTTGCCTGAGGTCGTGGAGGAGGGGCAGCATGCTCTCCCTGGGAGGTGGAGCTCCTGGTCACCACTCCCACCTCGGGTAGGAAGAAACCCGGGCACGAGGGCCTAAATGTTCCCCCAGTGTGGCACCTAGGAGCTGGTGCCCTGCCAGCCAGGCCTCCCTGCTGGTTCCTCCCAGTGAGGCTGGGGCCCTGGCCTTGTTGACTTCGCACAGCTGGGCCTCCCACAGGTCCTACACCTCCCAGAGTGGCTGCTTATCCGAGGACCTCCCCCCCACCCCAGGCAGTGTTCTAGCCAAGTAGGAGGGGGTCACTTGGCTGAGCAGAGGCAGCACCTGGGAGGCTCACTGGGGCCCTGACTGACCCTCACTTCACAGAACCCTTCTCTCCTAGAGTCTTATCAAACAGGAAGGAGCTTTGTAGAACCCCTGCTGCCCTACTGTGTGACCTTGAATGTTTAGATCCACATTGTATCATTTCCCTGCCTCCCTCATGGTGACCTTTGAGGATTTAAGTAAACTCAGTCACGGAGAGAGATTCTAGCGCACAGTCAGTCTTCACAGCTCCAGCAGGTCACTGCCCTCATGCCCCTGACGCCCTGACGTTGCGGGGGGGGGGGGGGATGGCCTCGGGTTTGTTCATTCTACCCCCTCATCCTGGGCTTCAGGTCTCCTTCCTCCCTCCACGTGGCTGGGGAACCAGGACAAGTCACACGTGACTCAGCACGCCATCGTCCTGTCCTGACAAGGACGGACGCTCCATGAGAAGCCTGGCCCTCATCCCTGGGTCTCTCTGAAGGGAGAGGCTTAATGAGCGGACCAGCAGGTGGGATCGGTGCTCAGGGCCCAGACACAGTGACCGTGGACAGTTGTACACTGCACAAAGGCGTTGGCAGAGAGGCCTCAGGCAGTGGGGCTCCCCTAGCCAAGCCCCACGCTGTTGTGGCACATCCCCAAAAGGATTTGTCGTTTTCTGTCTTACAGAAGCTCTCACAGGCTGTGCCCCAGGGTGGGGGTGGGAGAGGGCAGTCCTGAGCCCCCGCCCCCCTCTTGCCCACAGGTGTTGCGAGTGCAGCGCCTCCCTGTCACACCAGTACTACGAGAAGGATGGACAGCTCTTCTGCAAGAAAGACTACTGGGCCCGCTATGGCGAGTCATGCCATGGGTGTTCAGAGCACATCACCAAGGGGCTGGTCATGGTGAGTGCCCTCCCGGGGTGCTGTCCTGGCTCCAGGGCTCTCTCCTGCCCATCCCTTGTTCTTCTCTCCACTGGCTGGCTGCTTCCCCACACTGAGACCTCAGTGACCCACTCACCAGGCCCCCAACAGTGGCCCAGGGCAGCCCTTCTTTTTTTCTTATTTGCATGAAGAATTTTTTTAAAGACTTTTTTATTATTATTTGAGTGAGCATTTACAAAGCATGTTGGTTTTTCATTAAATCATCGATGCTTTTTCCCCATTAATTCATTATTGCATTTTTCTCCCTACCCACCCATCTCCCCCAATTCACTCTTCTATTATTATTATTATTATTATTAAATTTTATTGGTTTTAATGAACATTTACAGAGATTTTGGGTTTTCATTCATTCATTGTTGCACTGTTTTCTCTACCCTCCTCCCCAGTTCGTTCTTCTTTTTTTCCCCCCCCCGAATGTCTGTTTTAATTGTCCAATTGCCACAGTGCTTGTCAAAGCCAGTTCTGATTAATCTCCTTTGTAAGTGTGTTCTTTGCCATTCTCTATCACTCCTCCCTGAGAGAGACTTCACCCTGATTCATAAGGAAAAGGGGATGGCGTATTCTCTTAGCTACTTCCTTCTGAAAAGGGACGCTGTAGGTTTCAGGGTTCACTCTTCCTTTTGAAAAGTAAGAGAAAAATCTTTTCATTGTTATACAGTCCCTCCCCCCAAGTGCACTCCACTATGCAGCCTTCATTCTGGACTCCTGTCATGATGATAATATCTAGTCATATATCCTTTTTAAACAGTTCTCTCTCTCATCTGTTTCAATGCAGTATGCATTATTTGTCCCCTCTTTCTGAGTCTCCCCTTAACCCCGATGTCAGTCCTGTTTTACAACAATGGCACTATGCAGTATTTGTCTTTTTGTGACTGAGATATTTCACTCAGCATAATGTCCTCCAGGGTCACCCCTTTTGTATAATATTTCATGAGTTCCTTGTTTTTCACTGCAGCGTAGTATTCCATTGTGTGAAATATACTGCAGCTTCTCTATCCATTCGTTTGTTGATGGGCGCTTAGGTTGTTCCCACCTCTTTGCTACTGTGAACAAGGGCAGCCTTTCTAGAGGGTAGAACTATGGGGCTTGGAGGGACTGCTGAGCTGGATAGTTACCCTTTGCCCTCCCAGGTGGCCGGAGAGCTGAAGTACCACCCCGAGTGTTTCATCTGCCTCACATGCGGAACCTTCATCGGAGACGGGGACACCTACACGCTGGTGGAGCACTCCAAGCTGTACTGGTGAGTGTGCACGTGTGTACAGGGTCTTCTCCATTCCCACGCCATCGTCCTGCTGGGAGTCAGGCTGGGCTAGGAGAGTCCGGGGTGACTGATAAAGCTGGATTCCAGCACAGGCCTTGATCCCACATGGCCTTTAGTGACCTCATCCTGAGTGAACTTATCCCCGGCTTTGTTCTGCTCAGCTCACAGCACAGCAGAAACTAGACAAACCCACAGTGCCTGTGCCGCACAGAGGGGCTGGGGCCGAGCGGAGGGGCGGGGCCTAGAGAGGGGGCGGGGTCGAGCGGAGGGGCGGGGCCGAGCGGGGCATACCCAGTCCCTGCTTGCAGGCCATTCATTCTTCTCCTTCCTGCCTGCCTGCTCCTTAGAGGAGCAAGCAGAGCGAGAAAGGGCCTGGGCTGGTGGCTGGAGGGAGTGCTGATGCTGCTGGCTGACCTGACACCTTCCTCCTACGACACTGCAGTGGGCACTGCTACTACCAGACGGTGGTGACCCCAGTCATCGAGCAGATCCTGCCTGACTCCCCTGGCTCCCACCTGCCCCACACGGTCACCCTGGTCTCCATCCCAGCCTCGGCGCATGGCAAGCGAGGCCTCTCCGTATCCATAGACCCCCCTCATGGCCTGCCTGGCTGCGGCGCAGAGCACTCCCACACCGTCCGCGTCCAGGGGTGAGTGGCGGATGGGCCAGGGCCTTCGATGCTCTAGGTGGGTGGCAACTGTGGGGCTGGGGGCCTTGAGAACAGGGAAGATTTTGGGTGCAGATGACAACCTGGTATAATAGGTGGCTTGTTCCGTTATTACTCTGATAACTTTCACAAGTGGTGGACAAAATAAAAAACATTAGCTTTTAATCTACCAGAGAACTAGCAAGGTGTAATCCTTTGGGAGTTGAATCCATTGATCGCCCAAAGGTGGCCCTCTCTGGAAGTTTGAATCCATCAGCTGCTCTTGGAACAAAGATGGCAGCCTCCTTCCTTGTGATTTACAGCCTCCCAAAACGTGCTGGAGGGTCAGCTGTGAGTCAGCTCTGACTTGACCACAGTGAGTAAGTCAGTGAAGAACTAACAGAGGAGGGAATAGGGGTATCCGTGGAACACTGAAGGCAGGTATGTCCTGACGGCTCATCTGAATGAAGGAACTGGAAGTTTCTATTTTCACGTCCGTTTCTGGCTGCTCAGAGCCCTAACGTGGCTAAAGAAATTAGTCTAATGACAGAGAACTGCACTCATAAAGCAGGAACACCCCGCCTCAAGTGCCCTTAGGGTAGAAGTGATGAGAGATAACCAAACTTCCCAGCAGTGCTCCAGTTCCCAGCTCTCAGAACGGTAAGGTAAATTTTTATTCTGATTGACTCCCCGAAAATTCATAAACCTGGATTTCAACCTAAATTCATACACTGGGGTAGTTTTAAGAACCCGCAGACAAAGTTGCATGGGGCAGTGGATGAAGCTCCTTCCAGGAGGAGCCCACCTCCAAACCTCACTGCCTGGACTTGGAGAACAGCGGGGTGTCAGCATGAAGATAGCACTGGGGCTTATGGAGTGTTTCCTGGATGTTAAGATGCGTGGCCAGAAACCTCTAGTCAGGGAGCTCTGGTGGCCTAGTGGCAAGAAGCTGCCCTGCAATCCCGAAGGCACACAGTTCAAATCCGCCAGATGCTCCACTGGAAAATGAGGGGCAATCTCCCCCTATGCCAGTTGGATCTGATTTGACTGTACACACACACACACACACACAAAAGAAACTCTGGACATGAAGTGAGGTGCTGTGTGTAAGGGTCCACAGAAGTAACAAACCCACAAAAAACCTCAGCAGAGGTTTATCAGAAAGTGTCAAACTGTGAAATTTAATGTGTTGTAATAATTAAGATCCTTAACTTGGAACAGGTCCAGAAAAATTAGGGCAGAAATAGTGATTACTATAAATCTTAATGTAAAGTGTTTGTTGGTTGCTATTTTTTTGAAAGCTAAAGAAGCTTTATTACGGGGGCTCCCAGGCAGGATTTCTTGTCTAGAGAGAGATTAATGTAAGGTTTTAACAGAAAAGTTTAAGACAGTTAAAGAAAGAACTAGAGAGACAAAGAATGAGAACTGAAAACTTAAAAATATCTAGAGAGGGGAAAAAAATCTGAAGAATGGCATAGACCGTCTCCTCTTTGGCATCCCAGAGGAAAACAGATCCTAAAGGAAGAGGCAGAATGTGACGATGTCATGACAGGACCCCTCAGAACTGATGCTAGACAGTGATTCACAGACTCTGGCCCAGTAAGTCCCAAACAGCAAAGTAGAAAACTGCCCGTGGGTACACTGAGCTTGGTGTTCTAGACCAAGAGCTAAAGAAAATACTTTATTGCACCCGTCTCCCCCAGTTGGACGGAATCCCTTCAGAGAAAGGACACTTAGATTGAGTTCTGATTCTTCAAGAAGCAATGGAAGTCCGAAAGCAGTGAGATGATGCTTGCAGTGCACTAAGTGAAAAAACCATCAGCTGCAAGAATGAGGGTGCTATGTCCTACTAAGAACTTAGTGGGCTTGGCATCTTGGTGCGGAGGTCTAGGATCTGGGTTTCACGGTGCGTCCCAGTTATTTGGCCTAATAACATGTTTGGTGCTTCTGTTCCACCTCCTCCTGGTTTAGAGCCTGGAGTCTTAAAAGCTTTTAGGGTGGAGTAATTGGTTTCTATTTGCCTAGAGCAATAAAGAAAAAATGTTAGAAACAGGGAGGAGACGGAACATGTAATTAATTCTCTGCATGAACAACTGCTTTCTTTGCCTTGAAACCAGAACTGGACGGTACCCAGATGCCATTACTAAACATTTGGATCAAAGATTCTATAAAAGAACCTTGGCCAAAGACGGGAAAATACAGACCAGAACGTCACATTCTTATAGGATTGAGATTTTCTGGAGGCTGTATGAACTCCTGAAACCTGTCCAGAGATCATTATGTCTTGAATCAAATGCATCCCCTGAAGGCATCTTTAAACCATTAGCTGAACAATTTAGCTGAACTAGTAAAAAATGTCTGCCTTGAGCATTCTGCCCTAGGTGAACCACATGTAGATGTCTATCTCCAATCTGAATGGTAACCTGTTAATTTCCCCCATAAACAGCATAATGTGGAAGGGGAAAGGACTCCATGGAATCAGATTGACAACAGCAATTCAAAAGGCTAGATGGGAATCTCAGGAGGAAGTAAATTAATGGGACTGAGGGAGGGACAGTTCAGAAAAGGAAAGGGTTGTACACCATGCATATAATCTGTGCTGCTGGACCTTACCTGGAGAAAGGGTTGAACCCCTCCGCTGTGTATACGCCCACAGTAATGAAAAATGAAGTTTCTGAAACAAGAATGTGGGTGAAATAAAGGCTTGTTAATGCAGAAAAGTTCTCCGGATTTGATCCTAGCAGATCATACCAAAAAAAGACCAGTGAGCCAAGAAGAAATGATGGTATAAAGTGGCATAGACAGTACGTAATGTGTACGGTGGAGTCCCCGGTTGGTGCCAACAGTTAAGCCCTACCAGCTGCTTAGAAAGGTCGGCAGTTCAAACCCACCCAGAGGTGCCTCAGAAGCCCTGGCGTTGTATTTCCAGACGGTCCCAGCCTTGGGAATCCTGTGGGGTCACCGTAAGCAGGCGTCACCTGATGGCGTCCGCCAGCAGCAGTACTGGTACATGTTGGAGTTTTACCAACTGTCTTGAAGTTGTTCTTTATAGCAGGCTTTCCCCACTTAAGGAAAGAGCATGACCCTCCATTGTGCTTAACTGCTACATCTTCTAGGTATCTTTTTTTTTTAATTATTTTAATGAATATTTACAGAGATTTTGGATTTCCATTCATTCATTGTTGCACTTTTCTCCCTTCCCAGCCCTTCCCTCCCCCACCCCTCCCCAGTTCGCATGTCTCTTTGAAAAGTAAAAGAAAAATTCTTTCTTTGGTATACAATCCCCCTCCCACCACCCCGAGTACACTCCACTATGCAACCTTAATTGTGGACTCTTGTGATAACCATAATACCCTATCATATATCGCTTTTAAATTATTCTCTCCCTCATCTGTTTCAATGCAGTGTACATAATTTATCCAGTTTCTCTCAGTGTTACCCCAACCCTGATGTCAGTCCCATTCTACAACAGTGGCACCATGTAGTATTTGTCCTTTTATGACTGAGATATTTCACTCAGCATAATGTCCTCCAGAGTCACCCATTTTGAATAATATTGCATGAGTTCCTTGTTTTTCAATGCAGCGTAGTATTCCATTGTGTGAATATACCACACTTCTCTATCCATTGTTTGTTGATGGGTAGGTATCTTTTAACCTGTGTTAATTCCTTAGTTTCATGACCTTGACCTTTTTAAAGGGTACCAGCTGTTGGGTAGCATTCCCCTCAGTCTGGGCTGGACTGACACTTTGTCTTCATTAGATTTGGGTTCCGTGTTGCGTGAGTTGAAGAGCAAGGATGTCCATTTAAAGGCAAAGGCATGCTTGGCCCGAGCCATGGTGTTTACAGTTGGACAGTGACTGAGGAAGACCAAAGGAGAGTCAGCGTCTTTGAATTGTGATGTTAGAGTATTAGATCTTTTTTTTTTCTTAAAGAAAGAGAATTTTTTATTAGCATTGTTACAGACAATGCGTTACATACGAACTGATCCTTCAGTTCGTATGTAAGCCTGCTATAAAGAACAACTTCAAGACAATTGGTAAAACTCCAACATGTACCAGCACTGCTGCTGGCGGACGCCTTCAGGTGACACCTGCTTACGGTGACCCCACAGGATTCCCAAGGCTGGGACCATCTGGAAATACAATGCCAGGGCTTCTGAAGCACCTCTGGGTGGGTTTGAACTGCCCACCTTTCTAAGCAGCTGGTAGGGCTTAACTGTTTGCACCAACCGGGGACTCCACCGTACAACCCCAACCAAGCTTTAAGCAGAGAAATCAGTGTTAGATCTTAAAGTTCCCATGGACTGCCGAAGAACCCCAGCGTGCATCAGACGCCGTGCAGCCAGAGTCCTTCCGAGAGACAAGGATGGTGACGCTTGGTCTCACAGACTTTGGACATGTTGTCAGGAAGCGCCAGTCCTGGGAAAAGGCGAGGGTCAGTGAAAAGAGGGAGACCCTCAAAAAGACAGACTGACACAGTGCACTTGAGACTGGTGTAGATGGCCAGGCCGCCACAGGACAGGACAAAGTTCAGATCTGTTCATAGGTCCCTTGGAGCTGTCATCCTGATGGCGCCTAACAACAGCTGGGTAGGTGACGCCAGGTCCTTCTGGTCCTGTCTCAGGGGGTGGCCCACGTGCCATTTCTGATCAGTATGAATTCTGTGAAGAGACTGTTCCCAAGCACCTGCCGCCAAATGCTCTCACATCCGTGTGTGATGCGTTACCTGGACCCATTCTTGCTTCAGTGGCTACAAAATGGTGATTCTTCTGACTCTTGCACTTTCTCCTGCTTTTACAAATTGGCTTTCAACGCTGAGGAAGTGCTTCACCCCAAGAAGATACAGGGTCTTCAATCATGCAGGATTTTTGTACATTGGTCTTTCCTACGGTCGCAGCCTCCCCTCTGCCCCCTGCCCCACCCCAACTCGTCTCAGTTTCAGGGAGGCTAGGGCAGGAGCGAAAAAGAACATTCCTGAAAAAGCTTGTGTAAATGCAGACTGAAAACCTGCTGAGTGAAGTCAAAAGATAACAGTAAGGAAGCCAATTGTGGCCGTTTGGCTGTTCTGTGAGTAGCCTTTGGCCCCAGCAGAGCCCACGCCAGTAGCTGCAGCCTCCTGAGAGCAGCCTGCTGCCCCTTTCTGCCAGTTCAGTAGTGAGAGCCTTTGCCAGGGCTGCAGAGAACTGAGCATCTAGCCTGGGATGCAGGAGGCAGGTCGCCTTTCTCCGATGCCACATCCACAGCAGACATGAGTAATCTATGCCAGAACTCTTCCTACCTGCCGATTACCTATGATCAGCCCGTCACCCCGGGCCTAGTCCCCTTGACTCCAGTTTCCTGTTGGAGCTCCATCGGGGTGATGGGTGCCTATCTGACCACCACTCTATGCCCACAGAGTGGACCCTGGCTGCATGAGTCCAGATGTGAAGAATTCCATCCACATTGGAGACCGGATCCTGGAAATCAATGGCACACCCATCCGGAACGTTCCCTTGGACGAGGTACAGGGGGCTGGGGCCGGGGACCAGGGATGAAGGTGGTGCCGTTGTGCCTAGTCCCCGCCCTCCTGCCACCTGTGCAGTTGACTCACTTGTCATGTACACATCTGATCTCCCCAGATTGACCTCCTGATCCAGGAAACCAGCCGCCTACTGCAGCTGACCCTCGAGCATGACCCCCATGACACGCTGGGCCACGGGCCAGGCCCCGAACCCAGCCCCCTGGGCTCCCCAGCTCACACTCCCAGTGGGGAGGCGGGTACCGCAGCCCGGCAGAAGCCCGTCCTGTAAGTCATGCTGTTCCCCGGGTGTCCTACCTGCTTCTGCAAACGCTGAAGGTCCCATCCTCCAGGGCACACAGGCTGATGGGGGAGTAGACCTTACAAAAAACGGCTAAGAAAGAAGTGGGAAGATCTCCCCCAGCTGAGTGAGAATGCTGAAGGGGTGCTGGCTGAGGACCGGTAGCTCCGATTGATCAAGGTCAAGGGCGCAGGGGAGAGGCAGGCTCTAAGGCTGGAGCTCCTGGCAGCTCTGGAGTCTTCTCTGCCCATCTCAGGCCCCCCTGAAGAGCACTGCTGCAGGGCTGTGTTTGCACGGATGGCCTGGTGGCCTGTGCAGGGGGGCCTGGGGAGGAGCCCTTGTGATGGGACCCCGTTAGAGGGCTGCTGCACTGGTCCAGGCGGGAGGTGCCTCCTGAGCCGGGGTCACGAGGAGGAAGGCCAGGGGCAGCCCGATCTCAGGGAGCTCTACCAACGGACCTTCCCAGAATGCCAGCCCTTGAGATATTGGTGCCATGCGTTTCCTCATCACCTGCACACATGGCACCCAGGCCACCCCGTGGGCCTTTGTATAGAGGAGTTATGGGCGTCTTGGGGAGGGAGGTCGCCTCTGCACCCTTAGCCCCAAAACAGAGCATCTTACCCAGGACCTCAGGCAGAGGCAGCCGAGGACAGACACTTCCACAGCCCGTCGGTAGGCTTAACCAGGAAGACTGGAAAGAGTGCAGGGAGCTGGATGGGATGAGAGAATGAGGCTGGGGGTTTGAGGCAGCCATGTCACTGATCAGAGGGCGGGACCCAGGGGAGGGGTAGTGGGCAAGGAGAAAGCATCCCCTCCCTGGTGACACATGACTGGGGTCTGTCTCCCCCCCAGGAGGAGCTGCAGCATCGACAGGTCCCCGGTCGCTGGCTCCCTGAGCTCCCCAGCTGCCCTCCGCAAGGACCTGGGCCGCTCCGAGTCCCTCCGCGTGGTCTGCCGGCCGCACCGCATCTTCCGACCGTCGGACCTCATCCACGGGGAGGTGCTGGGCAAGGGCTGCTTTGGCCAGGCCATCAAGGTACGGTGTACCAGGGGTCGCTTAGTGGCAGGGGTGAGTCCATCAGTGCCCCCTCCACACCTCCCCGTGCCCTCCAGGGGTCTGCAGTGGGGTGGCAGGCTTCTGACCTCCCTGCCCAGTACTCTCCTCTGCCATGAACTGGCTAGCACAGGGAGACTGCTCTAGATTGGCCCAGGACTTTATGTGGAACCAACTCACAGCTGACCCACCAGGGGTTTTCAGAGGCTGTAAATTGCACAGGAGCAGATGGCCCACCTCTCTCCTGAAGCCCCAGCTCCCTGAAATTTGCCTGGGCCCCATGTTGAGCTTTAATGTCAGCCTCACAGTGGCCCTGCAGCTGCCTGTCCCCTTGTATGGTTTTCCCCTTACAGTTTCGGAGGGCCTTGAAAGAAGAAAATGATTCACTGTATTAATAGGAACAAAGTGGAGACTTTGAACTGGATTTCAGGAGATAATATTTCTCAGAGCTGCTAGTGTTTCTTGTCAAGCTGAGGCGATTTCAAATTCATCCAGATACCAGCAGCTTCCCCTAGGTGTGACGTAACCTGGCCGTGACCACGTTGGGAGATTCAGGGCTTCCACAGAGGATGTGTGTTCAGACCAAGCCAAACCCATCCTCCCTGGTCCCCTGGCCAAGGAATCATTTGATCTCTAGGAGACAGCCTCGTGACGCAGAGAGAGGGCAGCTCAGGTCCCAGCCACTCCCTTCCCTTTCCTGATAGGAAAGCTGAGCCTCAGTTTCCTCATCTGTACAATGGGCTTTATAACGAAAGGTCTGTAAAGAGTGCCAGGCCTTCTGTCCATCCCCCTGCAGTCCTTGCTGGGAACGAGGCTCCTCCTGCAAGAAGGCTGTCTCCACTGAGTCTGTGTACCCCGCTGTCCCCATGCAGGTGACCCACCGGGAGACAGGCGAGGTGATGGTGATGAAGGAGCTGATCCGGTTCGATGAGGAGACCCAGAGGACCTTTCTTAAGGAGGTCAGCTCACCAGCCTCCATTTCTCAGACACGCCCACGGCCCCCATTCCCGTCCCCACTGAGGGGCTTGATGGCAGAGGGCTCCAGGGGCACATGACACTCAGGCCACGTGTTGAAAGAAGGGAAGGTTTGCAGGGAGGTGGAAAGGACCCAAGTGTACAACCAGGTGTTCCTGGAGTGTCAGGTGGGGACGGGGTGTGGGCGGACCTCCAGACCCAGCCTGTCTGTACTCTGCCAGGTGAAGGTCATGCGCTGCCTGGAGCACCCCAATGTGCTCAAGTTTATCGGGGTGCTCTACAAGGACAAGAGGCTCAACTTCATCACCGAGTACATCAAGGGGGGCACGCTGCGAGGCATCATCAAAAGCATGGTGAGGCCTGAGGCTGCAGCCCTACCCCACCTCCCCCCAATGCCTGCCCCTGGGTGGGGCTCCCCCTGGGTCCTAGGATCTCCGCCTCTTCCCGGGGCCCTCCCAGCCTCGGTTCTGAATCTGAACCCAGCGAAGCAGAGTCCATCTAAGCCAGAAAGAATTGAGGAGGGGCGGCAGGTCCTGGGAGGGCAGCACGCCCTTCTGAGTGGTTGACCCCAGCGGACAGTTTTGGATGCTCAGGGGAACGGAGGGTCTTTGGACCCCTGGACACTTAACCTTTCTGCCCACTTTCCACACCCCGCCCCACCAGTGTGACCCCCTTGACTTATCCTTGCCTGTGTTCCCCCCACCCCTAGGACAGCCAGTACCCCTGGAGCCAGAGGGTCAGCTTTGCCAAGGATATTGCTTCAGGAATGGTGAGTGGGCTCTGGTCTGCCCAGGCCTATGGGCCAGGGTATCTGACCTCACTGGACTCTGGTCTGACCTGGGCTGAGAGAGGTGACCGCTGTAGCTGGCGGGGGGGGGGGGGGATCTGACTCCCCTGGACTCTAGTCTGACGTGGACTGTGGTTGGCAGAGCTGACCCCCCTGAACTCGAGCATGATGTGGGCTACGGGCTGGGGAGAGCTGAACTCCCGGGACTCGAGTCCAATGTAGGCATTGGGATAAGGGAGCTGACCCGACTGGATTCTAATCTAACCCAGCCTGTGAGCTGTGGCCGGGGGCGCGGACCCCACTGCACTCTAGTCTGACATGGTTGTGGGCGCTGACCCACTTAAAAGGAAGTCCTCACCAACTGATTCAGTGTCAGATCTTGCACCATCAGTTCTGTCTAGAAATAGAGCCCACAAGAAGCTTTGAAAGAGTAGAGGGTTTGAGTTCAAGTGGAAGATCACCCCAACTAGCCTGACTGGGGGCAAGAAGGAGATGCGGCCTTGGGGCGGCCAGGGCTGGGCTGGGCTTCACCTCGTCCTCACTTGTGTGTTCCCTGTTCCCCCAGGCCTACCTCCACTCCATGAACATCATCCACCGTGACCTCAACTCCCACAACTGCCTGGTCCGTGAGGTGAGCAGCCCAGCAGCGCCCCCCCCTCCCCGTCAACCACCACACTCCCACCCTGCGAGCCTTCCCCAAACCGGGACCCCCACCACCCCGAGGTGAGGAGATGAAGGCAGGACCACAGCCTGTGGGAAGGAAGGACCTCAGGGTCGGGAGACAGACAGACCTGGGTGTGAGTTTCAGCTCGGTGATTTGTTTGCTGGCTGTGTGACTCTAGTCACTGCACCGACCCTCACCCCCAGCCTCAGCCACATTGACTGCCCAGGAGTCAGAGCGGGTGAGGGAGACAATGACGTGGAGACTGAGGAACGATGATGTGGGTTCACAGAGACCAGCCAGGACAGGATGACCATGGGAACTGGCAGCACCCACAGCTGGAGGGTCCAGAGGAGGCCCGAAGGTGTCAGGCCAGGAAGCTTAGAGGGGATTCCTAGCTTAGGGAAGGGGAGTCAAGGCACCCAGGTGTAATCGCATGGCTGTGGAGACTGCAGGCTGTTGGCTGAAGGCTGAGAGGGAAGCCCCGTGTCTAGCAGGAAAGGAGGCAGAGACTCAGTCATGGGGAAGGAGGCTCCAGAGAGGAATTAACTGCGCGACTTGAGGGCAGGAGGTATTTCAGGTGGAGGGAACAGCATGCGCAAAGGCCCAGGGGCAGGCTGTTCAGGGAAGGGATGAGTCATTTGTGACAGGGTCACAGAGTGGGGAGGATGGATCCCACGGCCTTCCGGAGCTGCTCGCACTGCCCCTGCTGGCCATGGGGAGTCATTGCAGGGGCGAGGAGCTCCCCTGTCCCCCACCCACCTGTGCACAGCCAGTGACACTTCTGGGCTCCTCAGGTGTACTTCTCACAGGAGGGTCTGCGGACTTGGAGCAGGAGCCCTGAGGGCCCTGAACTCACCCCAGATCTCGTCATCACCCAGAACAAGAACGTGGTGGTGGCGGACTTTGGCCTGGCACGGCTCATGGTGGATGAGAAGACGCAGCCCGAGGACTTGAGGAGCCTCAAGAAGCCAGATCGCAAGAAGCGGTACACGGTGGTGGGCAACCCCTACTGGATGGCGCCCGAGATGATCAACGGCCGCAGCTACGATGAGAAAGTGGATGTGTTTTCCTTTGGGAGTGGACCCCGGGGCTGAGCCTGCACCTCGGGGGAGAGCCCATTGCTCTGCCCACACAGCCCATCTGAGTCCGTTCTGTGTCTCCAGTGTCCACTGTGGTGTCCACTGTGGCAATCAACACACTTGGTGGCTTAAAACAGCACAGGATGGTCCCTTCCAGAGGCTCGCGCTTCATGGCCACCAGGGGCAGCATCTTCCTCCCTGTCTGACCTGCTCTCACCCTCAGATCTCCTGACCAGCCCTCCCTCCCTTCCTGGAAAGACACTAGAAGAAGGACACAGTGGCCCTTCATCAGCCACCTCAAGGCAGATACTTAATCACATCAGCAAGGTCCCTTTCACTGTCTAGCTTTAGGAAGAACTTCATTTTCTTTGATCTTTGAGGAATAATTCATGCAAAGCACAGTCCACATTCTGTGAGGACACTTTGATGGGGATTTCCCCTTCTCTCACTCGCCCAGGAGAAAAAGATCCTCAGGGAGACGGACTGACAGCGGTGCCTGCAGCCGTGGGTGTGAGTGTCAGAGATGATGAGGCTAGCGTAGGCGAGGACAGGGGTCAGCTGTGCTCACAGGATTGCAGTGAGTCATACTTGACTCCATGGTACCTAACAACACCACTGCCCCAAGGAGCCTGAGTGGCCATAGTACATTACATGTTGAACTGCCACCCAAAAGATCAGCAGTTCAAATCCACGAGCCACTCCTCAGGACCACGGTGGGCAGTCTTCCCTCTTCCCACAAAGCCTCAGACGCAGAATAGAGGGTGGTCGCTGTGAGTTGTGACTTGACAAGTGACTTTTGGGTTTTTTTATTCCCAACTCTTTCTCTCCCTCCTCTACCCCCATCCCAGGGAACCATCAGTCTTCCTTTGTCTTGATGGATCTGCCTCTTCCAGATGGTTCTATGAGGAGTTGTGTTGTTGTTGTTGTTATTGTGTGCCGTCAAGTCACTTACAACTCATCGCAACCCTCTGTACAACAGCCCTAAACCCGGGTCTATCCTGTGCTAACCTCATTAGCTATGACACACCATTGCCCCAGTGACTGAATCAATCCATCTCATCAAGGATCGTCCTCTACTCTCCCAAGCTTGATGTCCCTCTCCAAGGACTGGACCCTCCTTGTAACATGTCCAGAGTATGTCAGACAAAGCTTCAGAATCCTTGCCTCCAAGGAGCAGCCTGGTTTCACCCTCTCCGGGACAAACCTGTTGATACTCCTAACAGTCCATGGTATATTCAACACTCTTCTCCAGCACCACAGCTTAAAGGCATCAGTTTGCCTTCTGTCATCGTCCAGCTCTCTGACACATAGCAAGCAATTCCAAAGACTATGGCCTGTATCAGACACAACTTAATCTCCAGATTGACATCACTTCTCTTCAGTACTCTGGAGAGGTCCCTGACAATTGACTTTCCCAATGCAGTTTATCTTTTGATTTCCTGACATCTGGTGCCAAAAGAGTGTTGATTGTGAAGCCAAACAAAATAAAACTGTTAACAATCTCAATCTCTTCTCCATCCATCATGATGCTGCCAGTTGGCTCTGTAATGACAATCTTTATTTTCTTGATGTTGAGCTTCAATTCATATTGAAGGCTGCAGTCCTTGAGCTTCAGCAAGTGCTTCAGGTCTTCCCCAATTTCAACAAGCTGGATTGTGTCATCTGCGTAACGCAGGTTGTTGATGAGTCTTCCTCCAGTCCTGATGCCACATGCCTCCCCGTACAACCCAGCTTCCCGGATGATCTGTTCTGCATATAGATTGAAAATGTATGGAGACAGAATACAAGCCTGGTGTACTACACCCTTCCCGATTTTGAACCATGCAGTGTCTCCTTGCTCTGTTCTGACGACTGTTCCTGGTCCAAGTATAGATTTTACATAAGCACAATCAAATGTTCTGGGATTCCCATTCTTCTCAGAGTCAGCCACAGTTTGTTGTGATTCACACAGTCAAACACCTTTGCATAGTCAGTGAAACACACATAGACATCTATGTGCTCTCTGCTTTCAGCCAACATCCATCTAACATAAGCTGTAATATTCCTAGTACCACAGGCTCTTCTGTACCCAGCCTGCACATCTGGCAGTTCTCTGCTGACATGCTGCTCCCGTCATTTTTGGATAATTTTCAGCAGAATCTTGCTTGCATGTGATATTAATGATAGTGTTAGATAATTTCCTCACTCTGTCAGGTCACCTTTCTTTGGAATGGAAACAAATAGCAATCTCCTCCAGTCAGCTGGCTGTCCTCCAGATTTCTTGGCACAGCTTAGTGAGCACATCCAGGGCAGCGTCTGTTTGTTTGAAATATGTCAATTGGTATGCCGTCATCTCCTGGAGCCTTGTTTTTTGCCAGTTCTTTCAGAGCAGCGTGAACTTATTTCTTCGTCACCACAGGCTCTTGCTCAGACATTGCTTCTTGGGTTCCATGAGTCGAATCCTAAAGTACTTGTCTTCCTGCAACCAACTCATTTCACTCTGCGTCTTATTTTCAATAGACATCCTTGTCGGGCGTTAGAACGCCCTCCCTCTTTAACAGAACAGCGCTCCGTGGTGGAGGGGGCACCTTTTGTTTGTTATCTCTCCCATTTTTGGGATGTGGGGATGTCTTTGGGGGACTGTTCTGCCAAGCACAGCCCCTCTGTCCTGCCCTTTTCATTTTTCTAAGCCCTGACGCTGAATGATTCCATGTATGCCCAGAAGGGATGCGTTATAAATCCCTTGATGATGTCCAGGCCCGGCCACACACAGGCTCAGGTCATTCCTCTTCTCTGTACCAGCAACTGGTCAGTTAGAAAGCCCCCTAGATAATGCAGCCTATGAAATGGTGTGGAAGGTCCCTGTCTTGAAGGGATGCCATACAGAAAGATTTGTCAAAACCAAGTTTAGTAAGCAAGATGGTTACACTGTTGTTTTAGCTCTTCGAGGTGGGTGGCTTTATTCCCCACCTGCACTTGAAGGATCCATGACCTGGGGAGCTCTGGTGGCCTAGTGGCAAAAAGCTGCACTGCAATCCCAGAGAGTGCACAGTTCGAATCCACCAGATGCTCTGCTGAATAAGGAGGGACAATCTCCTCCTCTACCAGTCAGATCCAATTTGACGGTACACGCACAAAAAATAAACTAAAATTTTAAAAAAAAATATGAAAGAAAGGATCCATGACTTGCTGCATGTTATAAAGCTGGTCAGCGACTGAACCTGCCTTGGAACTCCTTGTCCAGGGCTCTCATCCTCACCCAGATCTCCCAAAGCGTTGTTCAGGCCTGGTGGGGTTGGGGACAGAGGTCAGCCCTGGTGCTGTGAAGGTTGCCAACATCTGCCTCGTGATGTTGACCGGTAACCCCAGGCATCCACCCAGCTGACCACTGCCTGGCCTGAGACAGACGCCCGTTCTAACCGCCTGTCTCTCTGTCCAGGCCGCAGCTACGATGAGAAAGTGGATGTGTTTTCCTTTGGGATTGTCCTGTGTGAGGTGGGTATGGGGTCCAAGGTTTCCCTTCTTTCTCCACATCCAAGCTTCAGGTGGGAAGATGGGGGGATGTCTCCAGTCAGGGACACTCTGGGCATTTGCTGCTGTCCCCAGGGGGGTGCAGTGGCCGGCCCTTGGTCCTCAAGTCCCGCGGTCCTAGAGTAACCAGAGGGCTTTGTGGGAACAGATCATCGGGCGGGTGAATGCAGACCCTGACTACCTGCCCCGCACCATGGACTTTGGCCTCAACGTGCGTGGCTTCCTGGACCGCTACTGCCCCCCAAATTGCCCCCCGAGCTTCTTTCCCATCACCGTACGCTGCTGTGACCTAGACCCCGAGAAGAGGTGAGTGGAGTGGGCAGGGGGCTGTGGGAGGGTGGGGCTGGCCTGGCGGGGCCTGCCACCACCATTCTCTCCGCTCTCCCCCAGGCCCTCCTTCCTGAAGCTGGAGCAGTGGCTGGAGACTCTCCGCATGCACTTAGCCGGCCACCTGCCCCTGGGCCCCCAACTGGAACAGCTGGACAGAGGCTTCTGGGAGACCTACCGGCGTGGCGAGAGTGGCCTGCCTGCCCACCCCGAGGTCCCCGACTGAGCCGAGGCCCGTCTCCTCTCTGCCGCCAGGCACCCGCTTGGCGTGGAGCCCACAGTCGGGGCAGCCCGAGTCCAGTCCCCACTCCTAGTGCCCAGCCCTCCGACTTGCCTTCTCCTGTCCAGCAGGCGTGGCCCCTGCCTTTGCTGCACACACCACCTCACCCGCCTTACCTCTTTCACAGTTGGGGCCGCCCCCTCGGTTCTCATTGCATGAGCCAGAGGGGCCGGTGTGAGTCATGCCCTCATCCACCCCGCGCCACCTGTGCACACGCCACCTCCCTGCAGCCCTCCAGGCTGGCCTAGCCACAGTCTCAGTGCTGTGCCCCAGCAATGGCTGGGTCCATCAGGTGTGCGTCAGAGGAGAGGGGGGCTGAGTTCCCAGGAGCCATACTGGGAGTCTAGGGCCATTCACCCCCAGGGGTGTCTAGTTAGCAGCAGGTATTGATAATCACCCAAACCCCCAAAGCGGAGAAGGGCCGATCCCACGGGGGGGGGAAGTCCCAGGTGGTCAGGTGGCAGCCCTCTCTCTCGCTTTGGACCCTTTTTTTTTCTTCTTTCTTTATTGAAGCCACTTTAGTGGGAAGCAGGAATCAGGCCTCAGGGTGGAAAGAGGGTCGCTTGAGGAGGGAGCGAGCCCGGGCAAAGGGGGTTGGGCAGAGTGGAGAGGCCGGCACCCACCAGCATCCCAGCCCCCAGGTTCATCTCAGTCTCGTCAGGCCTCCCCCCGGGGCCCCTGCCCTTCCTCACACCCCTCTTTCCTCTGGGTTCTTTCTGTGTAATCTATTTTTTAAGAAGAGTTTGTATTATTTTTTCATAATGGCCACAGCTGCCAGGGGCTTGGGGTTTTATTTTTTTGGCGGGCGGGGGTGGGGGGGGGCATTTTGTCACTCTGCCTCAGTTGAGCATCTAGGAAGTATTAAAACTGTGAAGCTTTCTCCGAGCACTTTGAACCTGGAACATCATCGGAAAGGCCCGTGGGACCATGACGTAGGGAGGTGAAGCGTGCTCACCTCTGTCCAGGAAGCATAGACGTCTAAGGAACACAGAACAATAAACACATGCAGTACTCCCCACCCAGATCCTGCATAGTGGTGTGTGTCTGGGGGCCCCAGGGACAGAGGCAAGACGGGAGGGGGACCTGGTGCTGGGGAGCACTAAAACAATGCACAGAGGACTGACCCAGCCCAGGTAGTGGCCTAACCAGGAACAAGGGAAGATACTCCAAGATCTACAGGAAGCAGCAGCCATTGGTAGAGACCTAGGTAAACAGTCATCAGGGTGATCTGTGTGCATGAAAACCCAGCCCTGAGAGGAAGCCCCTCGGCGAGATGGCACAGTGGGTGCAGCCGTGGGCTCGGGTATGTCAGAGATGATGAGGACGGCACAGCATAGGGCAGGGGTCAGGTCTGTCGTTCATGGGATCGCTGTGGGTCGTGAAGAGTGACACTTAACAGCAGCAAATCTGGTGAGCTAAAATGACTGAGCCTCATTTCTTTTTGACTGTGTCGATCAGGAATTTGGAAGCGTTATGAGTGGCGTTTTGATTTGAATGTCTGGAAGTTGCCATGAAATGCCACCCGGGAATGGAGGGTCCCGTGTGGCTCGCACACATGGCTGGCTGGTGGTGGAAGTCCCTTGTGTGGCTCGCACACGTGGCTGGCTGGTGGTGGAAGGCCCCAGGTTGTCATGAGCCCCTCTGCAACGCTGCTTATGTGTCCTCACAGCATGACATTTGTCATTCTCTAGAGAACAGGAAAGTGGGGCCGTGTGCCTGCCGTACAACATAGCCTCAGAAGACCTGTCACTACATATTCTGTGAGCCACACAGACCAGGATTTCATGCAGGAGGGGACTGCACAGGCTTTGGGGACCAGATACGGAAGGAATTATTGGGGATTAATCTTGGAAGCAGGCTAAGAGAGGGAGGAACCCCCTCAAGGCTGGTGCGTAGATTTTGCGAGTGTTGATAACAGATCCTAAGCAATGGTAACTGGTGGGATTTCTAAAGAGAAGAGGACAAAATCTTAAGTGCTGGGCAAAACATCAGCCAACCAGCCCTGGAGAAAGGAAGAAAGTCCCCTTTGTCCACCAGCCAGTGACAGAACTTAGCAAGAAGCCAGCTGGAAAGGAAGTCTGGAAGATGTCATTTCCTCTGTACCACCTACAGCATCACAACAAAACGGTGGGTGGGTTTAGGACTGAGTCAAAAAAGCCCACGAGCACAGTCGTGGCTGCGGCTGCTCATCCCCCATACGTGTGGTCAGTCTCCGTTAGACTCAACTTCATGCCTTGGGCCCCGCAAAGATGTAAATGTACCGTTGAACATCAGTTGTGTGAACCAACCCAAAGCTGACCCTCTAGCAGATTTTCGGATCCAGTAAATCATATCCTTCTGCAAGGAAGCTGGTGGATTCGAACCGCCTGCCTTTGGGATTGCAGCATGCTGCTTGGCACTAGGCCACCACCACTCCCTAGTTGAGCATCTTGTTATCTGCTGTTAAGTCACCCGCGACTCACAGGGACCTGACTTGTATGTACAGTAACTCGGAACTCTGAGCCTGTTTCACTGTTGCCAACATACCTACCCCATCACCCTAGATACTGAGTCAATTCATTTCATTCATCTGGAATCTTCCTCTCTTGCGCTTCCTCCACCCTTCCAAGCATGATGTCCTCCGAGGACTGGCCCCTCCTGGCAACATGGCCAAAGTATGCAAGATGGAGCCTCAAAAATCCTTGCCTCCAGAGAGCAGCTTTGTTTCACCCTCTCCAGGGCAGACCTGTTCGCTCTGATGGCTGTCCATGGTATGTTCAGTATTCTCCAGCACAACTCACAGGCACGTCCTTCTCTCCTTTGTGGCTTCCCCTTAAAATGTGTCCACTTTAACGGATTCTCTTAAATAGTATGTAATCTAAAAACAAGCCATAAAATTAACCATCATTCTCAGCAGGTTTCCAAGGTTGTTTAAGTCCCACCGGAGATTGTCTGTCTTTCACCCAAGGAGCAGCTGGGGGTTCTGAACCACCAGAGAGGTGCCTCCTCTGGCTTAGAAGTGCAAGTCCCTACAGATTACACTACCAGCCCTCCCTTAACCATCTCTGAGCCTTAAGCATTGAGTTGAGTATTAACCCTTATCCAGTGAATGCAAACCAACGAATAGCTGACCTTGGGTTTTCAGAGGCTGTAAATCACTTGGGAGGAGACCGCCCATCTGCAGAGCAGCTGGTAGATTCAAACTGTGTACCTTTGTGCTGGCAAAAGTCCTTACCACTAAGCAGCCATCTTTAGATGCTGTCAAGTCAGTTCTGACCCTGGGGGCAACAGCAAAGCACTGCCCGGTGTTGCTCTTGTCATTCTGGTCACTGCATTTCAAGCCGTTGTTGCAGCCCTTTGTAGGTCTACCTGACGGAGGGTCTTCCTCCTTTTCGGGGCCCTCTCCCAGCCTGATAGCCTTTCCCCAGGGACTGACCGGTCACGATAGTGTGTCTCATGTATGAGAGTCTTCCCATCCCTTCCCAAGAAGCATGTGGCTGTACCTCTCCCCTGACAGATTTGTTTGTTCTTTTGGCAATCCAATATTTTTTCACCAACACCATAACTCAAAAGCATCAATTTGCATTCCAATAATGTATTAAGTCAGTGAAGAAAACCAAACACCCACTACCCTGAAGTTGATTCTAAAGGAAATGATAATTAGTTGATAACACAGAAATACAGAGTATCTGGAAAATGTCTGTTTTATTGACTACACAAAGGCATTTGACTATGTGGATCAAAACAAATTATGGGTAACAGAGAACGGGAATTTCTGAACATTTAATTATGCTCATATGAAACCTATACCTAGAACAAGAAGCTGCTGTCTGAACAGCACAAGGGAACACTACATGCTTTAAAATCAAGAAAGCTGTGCATCAGGGCTGTATCCTGTACCCATGCCTATTCAGCCTGTATGCTCAGCAAATCATTCAAGAAGACGGATTCTATAAAAAGGAATGTGGCCTTGACACTGGAGGAAGACTCATCAACAACCAGTTTTGTATAGATTAGACTTGCTCCAAGTGAGGAAGACTTGAAACACACAAAGAAGATCAAAGACTGGCCTTCAGCATAGATTGTATCTCAGCATCAGAAGACAGAAATCTTCAAGGAGCAGTGATGCTACTTTGAAGACTAAGGTGTACCAGATTCAGGTCATGGTATCTTCAGCCACTTGCTACACATGTCTGAGAGTTGGACAGTGAATAAGGATAACAGAAGAGGACTTGATGCCTTTGAGTTATGATGTTGGAGAAGAGTACTAAATGTCCCAGGGACAGCCAACAGATCAAGCATGTCTGTGTGTGTGTGTGTGTGTCTGCATGTGTGTGTGTCTGTGTGTACTGTCAAATCAGATCTGACAGGTACAGAAGGAGATTGTCCTTCTACAGCAAAGCATCTGGTGGATTTGAACCGTGTACCTCTGGGATTGCAGTGCAGTTTCTTGCCACTAGGCCACCAGAGCTTCCAAGATTCAATGGTTTTAATATAACCAACAGTTGGGCAGCTACCTCCACAATTTGTGATATTTTTGTCACCCCAAAAATAAATCCCCACACACCCATCAATCAAAACAACCAGGTGAAGCAGAAACCAGGTAACAGCCAACCACTTAGCAGAAAACACTGCCCTCATGTTAAACTTCTACAACTGGGGGCGGAGAGAGAAACACAACAGAAACCCAGGAGCTTCCCAGAGGGCAGCCAGAGCATCTAGGGGGACTTGGAGAGCCAGCAGCGGAATTCTACTAAAATATCCCCAGCAGGAGTGTAAAAGGGCAGAAAGACGTGAGGAAGCTGCAGCAGCCAGGTAGGTGGATGGAAAGCCTTAGGGCCTCAGGGAGTCCTGGGGCAGAGCCCGCAGGGAGCTGAGCTGCAGGCGAGAAGCTGAAACAGGGTTCTCTGGCAGAAGCCCTTGTGATCCACTAGTGGCTCTGAGGGCGAACATCAGTCAGTTGAAAACCCAAGATC